CCACCCGCCTCCCTGACCGCCTTGCCACCGCCCGCGATCACATCCTTTTCTCCACCCCGCTGACCTCACCCTCACTGACTTTGTTGACACCCTGGCCGCCGTAGAGACTCGTCAGTGCTCTATCGCCCAGTCTAGCGGTACCGTGCCGGTCTCTATCTTTCAGGGTTGTGCCCCTGCTCAGTGCGCTTACTCCGACGGTTCTGCTATCGTTGCTGAGACAGCCGCCATAGTGCAGTTTCGTCCGGGTAAGGTTCGCCGCCCCAAGGCTGGGCACGGCGGAGGAAGCGGAGAAGGGGGTGGTGCCGGTGGTGGAGGTGGCTCGCCCGCTGGTAGTACTGACGAGGGGGCTGGGGCTGGTGCCTCAGAGCAGCAGTCCCAGCAGCAGCAGCAACAGCAGCAGGCACTGTCGCTGGACCAGCAGTAGCAGCAGCCGCAGCACCTGCAGCAACAGCAGCAGCAGGCGCCGCAGCAGCAGCGGCGGGTCGGCCGTCTCCCCCCCGGGTGGCCTGGAGCTGGTGGTGACGGTGGTCGCAGTGGTCGTACGCACGGCATGCTGTCGGGTGGTGGTCAGCGTGACGGGCGCTGCCAGTACCAGCTCCAGACCGGTCCTCGCCGTGGCCTCGTGTGCGGAGAGATCGGCCATACCCCCACTCGTTGTTTCCGTCGCCTAGATGACATGTTTTGTCTCCGCTTCGGCCCGTCGCCTGACCTCCCCGACTGGCACAGTCTGCTCCGTCGTGGTGTTACGATCTTTGATATGGACATGGATGAGATTAGCTCTGCTTCGTATACGCTGTATGTCGATGACTCTAGTGTGACTGGTTCGTATTACCCTGTCTTGCCTAGAGTAGGTGTGCCCATTGTGCCTAGTTCAGGCTCCCCTGCTGCGTCAAGCATAGGATCCCCTGCCTTGTTTAGCCTTGGGTTCTCCCTCGCTTCTCCGACCTCTGTCGCCGCTGCCACGCTCTCCTTCACCGTGGACTCCGGCGCGTCGTGGTGTTTTTTTCGCGACTCCACTATACTTACGTTGCTTCCCATTTCCGCTGCAGTTGCTCTTGCAGACCCTTCCTCCAGTCCTATAGTTGCCCGTAGCTCCACTACTCTCCCCTGTCCGGCGGTTCCCTCGGGCTCTCTTACACGCCTGCACATCCCCTCGTTCTCTAGGAACCTAGTTGGTGTTGGCTGCCTCCAGGACCTTGGCGTCACCACTACGTTCCCTGGTCACGAGCGGTACACTATCTGTACTGAGGCCGCCACTGGTGCCCCCCTCACCACATTCCCACGGGACATGGTGTCTGGCCTGTTTACGCTGGACACCGCGTCTCCCCCGGTTGGGACACCTCCCCAGGTAGCAGCGTCTTCCCAGGTTGCTGCGGCGTGCTCGTGCCGGTCGCTTACTCACCCGTCGCTCCTGTAGCACCACCCTCTAGGTCACCCCGCTCTCACCCGTCTCCGTCACATGTCTCAGCACCATCTTGTCATAGGTCTCCCTGAGTCGTTCCCTACGCTCCCCTCCTCACCCGCGCCTCCGTGCATGCCCTGCGTCGAGGGCAGGCTCCGCCGTGCCCCTCACTCCTCCTCATTCCCCCCCATCTCCGAACCGCTGCAGACCTTGTATATGGACGTTTGGGGCCTCGCCCCTGTCCATGGGCCGCGTCGCGAGCGCTACTTCCCAATGCTTGTCGACGACTACACACGCTATACCACGGTGTTTCCCCTAGAGCGGAAGGCCGACGTGCCTGGCGTTCTTCTCCCGTGGCTTGTCTCTGCACGTGTTCACCGAGATCTCCCTGTCTTGCGTCTTCACTCCGACCGTGGTGGCGAGTTCGCCTCTGGCTGCCTTGGTCGCTTCTGTCGTGCAGAGAGCATCACCCAGACGTTCACCCTGTCGGACTCCTCGCAGCAGAATGGGGTCACTGAGCGACTCATTGGCTTGGTCATGGAGGTGGCTCGTACCTCCATGATCCATGCCAGTTCACCCCATTTTCTGTGGTCGTTCGCCATTCTCTACGCCGCCCACCAGTTTAACCTGTGGCCGCACCCTCAATGGCCGCATGTTTCGCCGACCCTCCTCTAGACCGGGTCTCCTGGTGCCGCGTCTGCATTCCACATCTGGGGCTGCTTTGCTCACGTTCGTGCCTCTGCCACGGACAAGCTCACTGCCCGCACTGTCCCGTGTGTCTTCCTAGGTTTCCCCCTCGACTCGTCTGACTGGAAGTTCTACCACCCGCCTTCTCTGCGTTTCTTTGCAACATCACCTTTGACGAGTCCGTCTCCTTCTACCACCGCTTTCCCCACCGTGGTCCCCCAGTCACTCCCCCCTGGTTCCTGGTTCCCCCCCCTCCCCCGGTCGCCCCTGTTCCCCCCCCTCCCTAACCTGCCCCGTCTGGTGTGTCTCACGCCACCCCCCTCCCGTCGGTTGTCCCTGCTGAGGAGTCTGCTGACTCTCGTGGCTCGGCGGAGTCTCTTCCGCCGTTGCTGTCCCATCCGCAGCCGCCTCCGCCGCAGCCGCAGCCGCTGTCGTCACCGCTGCTGGAGTTCATGCGTTCTGGGGGTGCTGGGGAGCGGGCTAGAGCTGGTTCTGGAGCAGGCTCTACGGGTGCTGGCGTGGGGCTTCTCGGAGGGAGCCGTGTTGTCGCTGGAGGTGCTCGTGTTGGAGTCGGGCAGCAGTTGCAGCCGACGCCGCCGGTGTCCGCTCTTTGCCTCCTTGGTCTTCCTTCCCCTGACCGCCTGCTGATGCCTCCCCCGCTGCCGCCGCCTCCTCCTCTGCCGGTCCACAGCCCTGTGTTTCCTCCCCCGGACTCCTCTCTGGCTCGTTTCCCTCCCCGTTCTCCTCCTGTTTCTCCTCCCCTCTCTCCTGACCCGACTCCTCCGTCTCACGTCTGGTCTCGTCGTCCGTCTCGTGCTCGTCCTACCTCCCCTGTTCTGTGTTCTCACACTATGTTGCTTCTCTCTCACGAGTCTCGTGCTCCTCCTCTCCTCCCATCTCCTCCCCCGTCGTCACTTGCTGTGGCCCCGCCTTTGTTCTTGGAATTCCTCCGTGCTGCGCGTCCCCTTGTTCCTCGTGTCCTTGCCTCTCTCGTTACCGACCCGTCTGTTCCTCTCTCGAGTCTGTCGGCTCTGAGGGTGACCCGGACGCACTTGACATCCCCACCCCTCGCACCTACGCTGAGGCCACCTCGGGACCCTGGGCCTCTCAGTGGATAGCTACCATGGAGCAGAAGATGGCATCTTGGAGATCCACCGGTTCCTTCATCGACGCAGTTCCCCCACCTTGGGTGAACGTAGTCGATGGCCGGTGGCTCTTCAAGGTGAAGCGCCCTCCTGGAGAGCCGCCTGTCTTCAAAGCGTGCTACGTTGCTCGGGGCTTCAGTCCACGTGAGGGGATGGACTTCTTTCAGACCTTCGCCCCGACCCCGAAGATGACCACTCTCCAGGCACTACTATACGTACTCTAGGGCAGTCTACACGAGCAGGTCTACCTGCGCCGCCCCCAGGGCTTCTCCGGTACCTTTCCCCTGGCACCGAGTGGCTCCTCCGGCGCCCTGTCTACGGCTTGCGACAGGCGCCCCGTGAGTGGCACGACATGCTGCGTGCTACACTTACTGACTTGCAGTTCTTCCCTTTGTCTGCAGACCCCTCACTCTTCGTCTGTTCCGGCCATACTCCGTTCTACATCTTTGTCTACGTAGACGACCTGGTCTTTGCTACTGCAGACAGAGACGTGCTGGCCTCCGTGAAGGCCGAGCTGCTGAGGAGACACACCTGCACTGACCTAGGAGAGCTGCGCCGCTACTTTGGCTTGCAGATCTCCAGGGACAGAGCAGCGCACACCATCACTCTCTCACAGTCACACTTGGTGCGCCAGTTCATTCAGAGGGTCGGCCTTCAGTTCTCTTCCGCACAGCCCACCCCTCTGCCAGTAGACCACAGACTCTCTGCCCCAGTCCCAGAGGAGGCTGTAGAGCCTAGTGGTCTCTACGCAAAGTTGGTGGGTTGCCTCCTGTACCTGATGACTTGCACTCGTCCAAATCTCGCATACCCTCACAGCATCCTGGCTCGCTTTGTGGCCTCGGGCAGACACCGACTACAACTCTGGTTGGCAGCTAAGAGGGTTTTGCATTATCTAGCAAGTACATCGGGCATGGGGCTAGTGCTAGGAGGACGTAGACCAGTGGTACTTACCGAGCACAGAGACGCTTCTTGGGCAGACGACGCCGAGACTCTCAGGTCCTCACAGGACTACTCCTTTAGCCTTGGTGCAGGTGTCATCTTGTGGAGGTCCACCCGCTCCTCGTCTGTTGCCCAGTCTAGCTGTGAGGCTGAGATCTACGCTAGTGCCATGGCGGTACAGGAGCTCCGCTGGCTGACATTCTTGCTCACCGACCTTGGTGAGCGGCCTAGCTCTGCCCCGGTTCTGTACGCTGACAACAGGGCCATGATCCTCCTGTGTCAGGAGCCACGACTTGAGGGCAGAGCGAAGCACATCTAGCTGCGGTACTTCCTCCTGCGCGAGCTGCAGCAGCGTCGCCAGGCCCGCGTAGTACACTTGACCTCTGGTGCCAACACAGCTGATATCTTTACTAAGGCGCTTGTGCCTAGAGATCTTCAGCGGCACTGTGTACAGCTAGGTCTCGTTTCTGTAGCTCCTCACTTGCTACGACCTTGATTGTGTACAGACCTTCATATATATATTACCCTGACTGGCCTTGTGGCCTCTTCCAAGTGGGTGAACTAGTAGTGCCGCCCTGATCTTGCTCTTGCCTTGTCTGTACTCGTTTGAGTGGACTTTAGACCCCTGCCTAGAAGTGCTACCCTGAGCTACTTATCTCTCACTAAGCAGTTCCCTTATCTAGTCAAGGGGGAGTGTCAAACATATCTTGTATGTTGTTAAAGATTATTCAAGGTTGTGACTTAGGGAATACAACCCATTAGGTTATATTCCCTTGTATCTCACTGTACTAGTCATTGTTTCTCTTCCATTCTTAGCTAGATCATATTTGCTTATAGCCTAGCTAGTTTAGATCTTAGTGATACAGCCCTAGTTTTGTATCCCTCCACATTTTCTCTTAGTCACAACTTTTCCCGCTACTCTAACACGGACAAGTACCCACAGAAGTATGATAACCTAAATGGTGCCGTCAGCATTAGCAAGTATGCACAGATTGGAATAGCTGCTTTCATGTTGAACACCTGACAATGGTACCAGGCACGCGGTGTGACTACTGGGCTGAGTCGACTCAAACTGCATTTACGCAGTGATTGGAATAGCCACTTTCATGTTGTCCGCCTTGCAGTGACCAATCACGCTGCAGGAAAAGTAAAGTGGTGAAGCAGTGCTTGTCACCTTGTACCTGCCTCACGGTAGAAAGGGGCAGCAAGAAGAGAAGGTCATCATTGATGAACTAAACAGGGTACTGTAGTCATCATCTGGCTCTGGTACTAGGTCCTAGTGTAATTAATGCAAACCAGTGTGAGTGAGTGTGTGTGAGTGGGTGAGTGAGTGAGTGAGTGCATGTAAGTACGTGCGCGCGCTTGCGTGTGTGCGTGTGCATGCCCGAGCGCGTGTGCAGGTACGCATGTGTGTGCGCATGCACGCACGCCAACTGTGCTGTGCATGCTCACATGTAGCTCCCAAAGCTGGTGATGCCTGTCTTCTTCTTTGCAGCTGAGAAGTTGCAGTTGTTGTAAGCGTCCACATTGTTCATCAGCCACACATCATGCGGAATGCCCTTCCATGAGAACTCTGCAAGTAACGCATTGGAGCACATGCAAGCATGCACACGGAATGAGGACGGACGAGCAAAGAGGCTTGAATCACTTCAGCACAAGGAGAAACTGTCAAAGGAATGGCTAACAAAACTGTGCGAGCACTGACGGGAAAAACAAGGGGAAAAAATAGGGGGAAAAAAAGGGGGGGAAAAATACCAGTAAAGGAGGCGCTCCGAAGATGTGGCCTGCAAGCATAACCCCGTTGGAAGTCCATTTTCTTGGTCCTCCACAGGCTGCCATCCCTCCCCTTCAATAAGAAAATACTTTTCTAATGGGCTTAGATAATACGTACTGAGGAAGTCGCCTTTGTGGATGGGCGCGCTGGGCTTCCACGTCATCACACCGAAGCCCCACGGGCTCAACCCCCCCCCTCCCACTGTGAACGTCTTGGCCTTAGCCTGCGGGGGGGCAGCGATGGAGACGAGGCAAAGAGGAAGCAAGAGTGCAGAGGGGTGTGCGGCGAGGGTTAGACGGTGGTGAGAATGAGGTGGACGGGTCGGAACAAGGGGCACTAGAAGTAAGAGAGAGAAAGCCACTGCAGCCAAGGAACCCAAGTAGGATTTCGCTTGCCATCGCAGACAAGGGACCCAAGTAGGATTTCGCTTGCCATCGCAGACAAGGAACCCAAGCAGGATTTCGCTTGCCATCGCAGCCAAAGAACCCAAGCAGGATTTCGCTTGCCATCGCAGACAAGGGACCCAAGTAGGATTTCGCTTGCCATCGCAGACAAGGAACCCAAGTAGGATTTCGCTTGCCATCGCAGACAAGGAACCCAAGTAGGATTTCGCTTGCCATCGCAGACAAGGAACCCAAGTAGGATTTCGCTTGCCATCGCAGACAAGGAACCCAAGTAGGATTTCGCTTGCCATCGCAGACAAGGAACCCAAGTAGGATTTCGCTTGCCATCGCAGACAAGGAACCCAAGTAGGATTTCGCTTGCCATCGCAGACAAGGAACCCAAGTAGGATTTCGCTTGCCATCGCAGACAAGGAACCCAAGTAGGATTTCGCTTGCCATCACAGACAAGCAGCATACGGCGGGGAAGGCGGGAAGGAAGAATACGAGAGAAAGGGATGGAGAGACGGGAGGGCGGGAGAGACGGTAGGGCAGGAGAGCAAGGAGGGCAGGAGGGCAAGGAGGGCAGGAGAGCAAGGAGGGCAGGAGGGCAAGGAGGGCAGGAGGGTAGTACCTCTGACTGAGTTGCGCCTGAGCCGTAGGAGAGAGCCAGGCGGGGAAGCGCGCGACGTAGGGGGGCAGGGGGGATAGGGGGGGTAGCGCAGGGCCGCAGGGGAGAAGGGGGAGAGAGCGGACACAGCGGAAGGGGGAAAGCGGGCAGGGTCACACTATGAGAGAGCAACGAAACCGAAGGCTTCTGGGGGGAGGTGACGAGAGGTGATGAGGGCTGTTGAGGGGTGATGAGAGGTGATGAGGGCTGATGAGGGGTGATGAGGGCTGATGAGAGGTGATGAGGGCTGATGCGAGGTGATGAGGGCTGATGAGGTGATGAGGGCTGATGAGAGGTGATGAGGGCTGATGCGAGGTGACGAGGGCTGATGCGAGGTGATGAGGGCTGATGAGAGGCGATGAGGGCTGATGAGAGGTGATGAGGGCTGATGCGAACAGGTTTGAAGGGGGTCGAGCGGAAGAGGCTGTCTGAGAGCAGAGCAAGCAAGGATACGGTCTACCTAATGAAGAGACTCGACGCAGTCGGTGAAGAGAAGAGAAAAACAAGCAGGAGGCGAAAGCAGGGCAAAAACGAGAGGCCGCCGTGAGAAACGGGGATGCGAGAAGGAAACGCCGCACGCGGTGGCAGTGACGGTGGCAGTGACGGTGGCAGTGACGGTGGCAGTGACGGTGGCAGTGACGGTGGCAGTGTACTGACGGAGGAGCGTAGAAAGGGGAACGGGACGGCGTTTCACGGAGGCGCAAGGAGGCACCTCGGATTCTTTAAAAATCGTACAGAGGGGACACGTACAAAGCAGGACGACGAGCGTAGCGGCCGCAAGGGCAATGGCGGAAAGCGAGCGAGCCATGGCGCCGATTTGAGACGCCTCAACGAGGCGAATTAACGAAGCGAGGAGGGGGAGGTTCAGATACAACTGAAACGGGCAGCTGACTGGCCTTCCAGGAATACCCTGATTTCTCGCGTGACCTCGGACGCCTTTGACTCGGCGAGCTCGTGACTTAACGGGTCAGTTGAGCACTGAAACGGAGTGAGGAACAAGCTCGCTGGATGACTGCTAGTCTGTCTGCGTCGTGCGTATTTATACCCGTTCGGTGCTTCAGGTGGTCCCGCGTGGTCTACAGCCGAGGAGCCACACCTTGCTTTGCCACGCAAGCACCATCGCCTCTGCTGCTGCTGTTGCTACTGCTGCTGCTGCTGTGTTCTAGGCTCTAGCATCCACCGCAAACCTACAGCGACTCCGGCTCGGAGTCGGCGGACCCCCCGCAAGGGAAGGGAGTCTCCACTGGCGAGGCGACTGCAGTCCTCCTCTTCTACACTCCCACTCCAACGAAAGCATGCCCCACAGGCGTTCCCGTCCGTTCCCCAACCCATCTCATGCCCTTCCCCTTGCGCGGGAACCGGCTGAAGGTGCATGGAACGAGACTGCTGCACCTAGCTGCCGTCAGCCTGACGTGACGTTTCGGCCACGTGACTGGCTGATAAGGCATGATACCCACAAAATCGAGGCAGAGGAATCGGATGGTGCACAGAGTGGTTTTGCCGAGAATCGAACGGCGGTGGTGAAGATAAGGAGAGGATGTAAGTCAAGCGAGTAACGATTGGGCACGTGGCGACACTGCTTACTGTGCCGACAGTAATGAATTCGATAGGCTATCAGGTAGTATCTGGTATGGTCGGTGCGAAGGAATGGTGAGGGCGTGTCCAGCGCGTTCGTATACTCTTCACTCTGCATATCAGGTACGAGATTTTGACCAGGTAACCCGAATTTTAGTGTTCATTCGGACACGCACGAGAAATTGACGGTTTTGGCACACCCTCCAAACGTGCCCACAGACGTGGGCCGCACGTTTCCGAACCGAATGGAGACCGTGCCCAAATTATACACACGGCAGAAACGTCCAGATCCTGACTGGAGGAAAAATAGAATGCTTACATTCGCCAGGCTTTTGTGATGCATGCGAAGGACCGGACGAGGCCTCTTTCCCGGGGCGGAATTCGGTTACCCTACTGTTTTCGCGTGTCAGTCTGTCATGTGTGCGCTTTGCACCCGCTCATTGGTCCGGAAAAAAGGGGGAGAATAAAAAACATGGTAAATGGTGGGTGACGAGAAGAAGCATAGGGCCATGGGAGAGTACCTGAGCAATGGGGTGAACAGTAGGGTTGAAGGGGAAGGTGGTTGAGAGATGGGGAGTGCAGATGGCAAAACCAGCAACAGCATGGGAGTGAAGCTGAGGGCATAAGTGAAAGGGGAGGGAAGATAGGGGAAAGGCTTGACAGGGTGGGAGAAAGGGGAGGGGAGATGGGTGAAAGGATGGGAGAGGGGAGCGAGGTAGGGAAAAAAAAAATCTGCCAAGGGAACGCGGCACAGGAAAGAGCGGGGGGGCAGCAGAGAGCGGGGAAACAGCAGAGAGCGGGGGGACGGCAGAGAGCGGGGGGGCGGCAGAGAGCGGCGACGACAGCGGCGACGGCTTCGGCTTACGACTGCGGTAACGGCAGCGGCCCCCGCCCTTTTGGCGGCGTGCCTAAACTCCGCGACTGGGGGACGACCCGCGAGAGTCAGGCGGCGGCTGTGGCAAAGAGGAGGAGACATAGGGAAGGGGGAAGGGGCGGGGCTTCGGATCTTCAGCGCGGCGCCATTGCTGGCGTGGCGCTTACTGGCGTGCGGGCGGGCTGCAAGTCCAGCAGCGAAGCAGGTGGTGCGCGACGGCAGCAGGTCGACGACACCGCCACGGCACCACTACGACGCCACCACCGCGTGGCGTCGGAGCCGCGGCTGCTCGTCGACGCTGAGACGACAGCACACAGAGGCCGCCGCGGCATCTCGGAAAATGTGCCACGGCGGCAGGCAAACAGAAGGCCGCGACGGCGGCCAAGTAAGGACGGGTACGCACCGGAAGCGTGGAGAGCAGGCCCGGGAAGGGCGTCCTGCTTTGATACCATGTCAGAACTAGGAACTAGGACGCCATGAAAGTGGCGTGAGGTTTTAGGAGCTAGGAGAACTAGGAGGAAGAGATTTGACGAGAGAAAAGAGAGCTGGATTAGAAAGAGAAAGAGGTACAAGGAGGGGTGTTGTACCTTCTGCAGTAATATTCAGTAATGTCTACCAAGCCTTCCATTTCTATAATTACATATATAATTTAACACTTTGTACCCCCTCTCCTTGCCCTCTGTACCGACTGCCTTCGCCCTTTGTATCCCCTCTCCTTGCCAGGCTGTGGGAGAGGATGGGTGGGTAGGAAATACAGGAACGTGAAAGGGTACATGACGGGGCCTATCTCTTAACATTCCGTTTTTCCAGACCCCCGTCTCCAGTTCTGTCCCCCTATATCCATGCCTTCCCTTTTCCCTTCACTCCTACCAGGAAGCCTACCTTTCTCCCACCTTTCCTTTCATCTCCCGTCCCCTATATCCATGCCTTCCCTTCCCCTCCCCCCCCTCCCACACCTCCCAGCCTACTTTTATCCAGCCCTTCCTATTCCACTCCCAAATTTCATGACTTCCTGAACCCTCACTGCGTGCATGGTTTTACCCTCAGTTTGCTCTCATTCTTCCATAAACCCCTTCTAGTTCACGCCACCCGCTCATTCCGCCCTCCTATGCTGCTCGCCTCTCCCCCTTATGCCGCTCGCCTCCCCCTTATGCCGCTCGCCTCTCCCCCCTATGTCGCTCGCCTCTCCCCCCCTATGCCGCTCGCCTCTCCCCCTTATGCCGCTCGCCTCTCCTCCTTATGCCGCTCGCCTCTCCCCCTTATGCCGCTCGCCTCTCCCCCTTATGCCGCTCGCCTCTCCCCCCCTATGCCGCTCGCCTCTCCCCCTTATGCCGCTCGCCTCTCCCCCTTATGCCGCTCGCCTCTCCCCCTTATGCCGCTCGCCTCTCCCCCTTATGCCGCTCGCCTCTCCCCCTTATGCCGCTCGCCTCTCCCCCTTATGCCGCTCGCCTCTCCCCCTTATGCCGCTCGCCTCCCCCTTATGTCGCTCGCCTCTCCCCCTTATGCCGCTCGCCTCCCCCTTATGCCGCTTGCCTCCCCCTTATGCCGCTCGCCTCCCCCTTATGCCGCTCGCCTCTCCCCCTTATGCCGCTCGCCTCTCCCCCTTATGCCGCTCGCCTCTCCCCCCCTATGCCGTTCGCCTCTCCTCCTTATTCCTATCGTCCCCTCCCATCATTCTGCTCGCTTGGCTACATGATTTCCAGAACATTCTCCCTATCTCCCCGCGTCCCTATCTTCCAGGCGCCCTCTCTCCCATTCAGCCCCCTCTTTCCCACATGCCGCCCATCTCTCCCACCTTCCGCCTCCCTTTCCCCCCATTCCGTGTACCTCTTCCCCCCATTCCACATACCTCTTTCCCCCATTCGCACACGCTTTCTCCCCATCCTGCCTACCCCTTTTCCCCCTTTGCATACCTCGTTCCCCCGTTCGTCAAGCACTTTCCCCATTCCGCACACCTCTTTCCCCCATTCTGCCTACCCCTTTCCCCAAGTTCGCCTATCTCTATTCCATATCCCACATACCTCTTTGTAAGGCGACAAGTCTGCTGTCGTAACGGAGTTTACTCTGCGCCGCTGGCTGAAATTCGTCGAGCCTAACTCGCTTATCTATCTCGTCGAACCGAACTCGTTTAGCCTAACTCGTTGAGCCTATCGCCTCGAGCCTAACTTGTCGAGCCTTTCTCGTCGAACCTAACTCGTTTCCCTCTCTTCAAACCGTCACTACTGCATTTCTGCTCGTTTCTCGTCGAAACTAAAACGTTATACACGTAGGGGAGACTGTTCAAGCCCCGCAAAACCTGCGGCGATTTTTTAGGATAGGTGTCGAGACCGCTCTGGCTTCCTAAGCTAGTCTACGTGTGGGAATAGTCTACGACTGTCAGCACACCTGGGGCTCACTTGAAACATGGGCTGTGACAGGTGGTCGCACGCCTTTCTTTTTGGTTTAGCCATGCGACCCTCGGACTCGTCGCCTGGTGTTCCTTTCTGGGGTTACGATCTGTTATGCATCGTCAGGGAATCAGTGTGGGCTGCAAGTTCGCAGCATTTGTTTCTTCGAGTCTGGGAAAATGCACCAGTGGAAGTTGGTTCCTTTTCTCTGACCACAAAAAGAACCCAATTTTCAAGTGCAACCCCCCTTTGCTATTCTAGTCTGTGGTTTTAAGTCTTTTTTATCATTTCCAACACCTACCTAGCTAAACCCTTCCTTAGCTTCTTAACATAATGGACTCTCTTTCCTTTCCGGAGGATCCATTATTCCGAGTGTTCATTGCAAGATGGCATAAGCGAGCTTTCACAATACACAATTTTACTTGTGTAACATTTTCAAAAATATCATATTGCAGCATACTGTCAAACATGTTTAGTTATCATGCTTGTATAGACTGTATAGGGTCATCCTCTAGAGAGTACAACTGTTAGGTATATGTTTGTGTACTCTCTCTCTCTATTCATCAATTTCACTGTTTGATATGGTATCACGCGTAGGTAGGATCCCCCCCCCCCCTCACGCTTCCGCTCGCCCCCTAGCTGGGCCCCGTCGTGCTCCTAGCCCCGTCGCGACCCTCCCTAGCCCCGTCGCGACCCTCCCTAGCCCCGTCGCGCCCCTTCCTGGGCCCCGTTGCGCCCCTTTCTGGGCCCCGTCGCGCTCCTCCCAGGCCTTGTAGCGCCCCTCCAGGCCCCGTCGCGCCCCTTTCAGGGCTTCGTAGCGCCCCTCCAGGCCCCGTCGCGCCCCTTCCAGGGCCTGGTAGCGCCCCTCCAGGGCCCCGTCGCGCTCCTCCCAGGCCCCGTAGCGCCCCTCCTGGGCCCCATTGCGCTCCTCCCAGGCCCCGTCGCGCCCCTCCCTAGCCCAGTCGCGCTCCTCCCAGGCCCCGTAGCGCCCCTCCTGGGACCCATTGCGCTCCCCCCAGGCCCCGTCGCGCCCCTACCTGGGCTTGGTAACGCCCCTCCAGGCCCCGTCGCGCCCCTACCCATCCCCGTCGCCCCTGCTCGGCCCCGTCGCCCCTGCTCGGCCCCGTCGCCCCTGCTCGGCCCCGTCGCGGCTGCCCGGCCCCTGTCGCACCGCCTAGGTCACCCTGCGCTCCCGCGTCTGCGTCACATGTCCCAGCACGGTCTCGTCCTTGGTCTCCCCGGTTCGTTCCCCGAGTTTCCCTCCTCCCCCGCCCCACCGTGCACGCCTTGTGTCGAGGGCCGGCTCTGCCGTGCCCCTCACTCCTCCTCTTTTCCCCCTACCACCGCACCACTGCAGACTCTGCACATGGACGTCTGGGGCCCAGCCCCGGTCCATGGGCCGCGTCGCGAGCGCTTCTTCCTAGTGCTTGTCGACGACTTCACGCGCTACACCACCGTCTTCCCCCTGGAGCGGAAGGCCGACGTGCCTGACGTTCTCATCCCCTGGCTTGTCTCTGCTCGTGTCCACCGCGGTCTCCCTGCCTTGCGCCTTCACTCCGACCGGGGTGGCGAGTTTGCCTCAGGTGTCCTTGGTCGCTTCTGTCGTGCGGAGGGCATCACCCAGACGTTTACCCTGCCGGACTCCCCGCAGCAGAATGGGGTCGCTGAGCGACGCATCGGTTTGGTCATGGAGGTGGCTCGCACCTCCATGATCCACGCCGGTGCACCCCATTTTCTGTGGCCGTTCGCCGTGCGCTACGCCGCTCACCAGCTTAACCTGTGGCCGCACCCCCAGCGGCCGCAGGTTTCGCCGACCCTTCTGTGGACCGGGTCCCCTGGTGACGCGTCTGCGTTCCGCGTCTGGGGCTGCCTTGCTCACGTTCGTGCCTCTGGCACGGACAAGCTCACTGCCCGCACCCTCCCCTGCGTCTTCCTCGGTTTCCCCCTTGACGCGTCCGACTGGCACTTCTACCACCCGCCGTCTCACCGCTTCTTTCACTCTCGCGACGTCACCTTTGACGAGTCCGTCTCCTTCTACCGCCGCTTTCCCCACCGTGGTCCCCCGGTTACTCCCCCCCTTTTCCTGGTTCCTCCCTCCCTGGTGGTCCCTGCCCCTCCCCCCCCCCGCCCCCCGTCCGGCCCCCTCTGGTGTGTCTCACGTCACCCCCCTCCCGTCGGTCGTCCCGGTCGACGAGTCTTCTGACTCTGGTAGTCCTCCGGCGCAGTCCTCGCCGTCTGTCCCTCCCCCGGTGTCTCCTCCTCCACCGCCTCCGCAGCCGCCGTCGCCGCAGCTGCTGCAGCCGTCGTCTCCACCGCCGCCGCCGTTGCAGCCGTCGTCTCCGCCGCCGCCGCCGTCGCAGCCGTCGCTGCAGCCGCCGCCGCCGCCGCCGCTGTCGTCGCTGCCGCCGTTTGTGGACTCTGGGGGTGTCCCTTCTGGGGGTGCAGGTGTGGAGGGTTCGGGAGGTAGCCGTCGCGCAGCTTGTGGCCCTGGTGTTGGTGTTGTGTCGCCGCAGCAGCAGTCCCCGCCTGTGTCCGCCCTCCGTCTGCTCGGCCTTCCGTCTCCTGACCCTGCGCCTGTTCCTCTCCTGCCGTCTCCCTCTCTTCCCGTCTACGGCCCCGTGTTCCCTCTGCCAGACTCGTCCCCGGCTCGTCTTCCCCCTCGTTCCCCTCCTGTGTCCCCTCCTCTGTCTCCTGACCCGACGCCGCCCTCACACGTCTGGTCTCGCCGCCCCTCTCGTGCTCGTCCTGTCTCCCCTGTCCCGCGCTCTCACCCTATGTTGCTCCGTTCCCACGCGTCTCGACCTCCCCTCCTCCCGTCTCCTCCTCCGTCTTCCCTTGTCGTTGCGTCTCCTCCTCTGTCCGACTCCTTTCGTGCCGCTCGTCCTCTTGTTCCTCGGGTCCTTGCCTCTCTCGTTACCGACCCGTCTGTTCCCGTGTCGAGTCTTGACGCCCTCGTCGCTGCGGTCGCTGACTTCGCCTCTACCCGCCGCCTTGACTACGCCACCGCTCTGCTCTCTCACCCTGCCTGTCCTCCGTCTGTCGGGGGTGCTCCTGCCCTCGGCAGTGACGTCCTGGAGGACCGCCAGTTTGAGCTTGCTTTCCTGTCCGAGGCTGCTCCCCATCTCTGTTCCATGCTGCTAGTCCCTGAGGGTGACCCAGACGCTTTCGACATCCCGACCCCTCGTACTTACGCTGAGGCGGTTTCGGGACCCTGGGCCTCTCAGTGGATAGCTGCCATGGAGCAGGAGATGGCATCTTGGAGATCCACCGGCACCTTCGTCGACGCAGTTCCCCCACCTGGGGTGAACGTGGTCGATGGCCGTTGGCTCTTCAAGGTGAAGCGCCCTCCTGGAGAGCCGCCTGTGTTCAAGGCGCGCTACGTGGCTAGAGGCTTCAGTCAGCGCGAGGGGGTGGACTTCTTTCAGACTTTCGCTCCTACCCCGAAGATGACTACTCTTCGGGTGCTGCTACACGTAGCGGCTCAGCGTGACTACGAGCTTCACTCCCTCGACTTCTCCACTGCCTTTCTTCAGGGCAGCCTTCACGAGCAGGTCTACCTGCGTCGCCCTCAGGGCTTTACTGGCACCTTCCCCCCTGGGACCCAGTGGCTTCTGCGGCGGCCAGTCTACGGCCTGCGCCAGGCGCCTCGTGAGTGGCACGACACTTTGCGTGCTACCCTTGCTGACCTGCAGTTCTTTCCGTCCTCTGCAGACCCCTCGCTCTTCGTTCGTGCTGGCTCGACTCCGTTCTACATCCTCGTCTACGTAGACGACCTGGTCTTTGCCACTGCTGACAGGGACGCACTGGCCTCCGTGAAGGCAGAGCTGCTGAAGAGACACACCTGCACTGACCTTGGAGAGCTGCGCCGTTACCTTGGCTTGCAGATCTCCAGGGACAGAGCCGCGCGCACCATCACCCTGACTCAGTCACACTTGGTGCGCCAGGTCCTTCAGAGGTTCGGCCTTCAGTTCTCCTCCGCACAGCCCACCCCTCTTCCTCTGGACCACAGACTCTCCGCTCCAGTTCCTGAGGAGTCGGTAGATCCCAGTGGTCCTTACGCTGAGCTAGTGGGTTGCCTCATGTACCTGATGACTTGCACTCGCCCAGATCTCGCATACCCTCTCAGCATCCTGGCTCGTTTCGTGGCCACAGGCAGACACCGACCTCAGCACTGGTCTGCCGCTAAGAGGGTTTTGCGTTATCTTGCAAGTACATCGGGCATGGGGTTAGTGCTAGGCGGACGCAGGCCAGTGGTCCTTACTGGACACACAGACGCTTCTTGGGCAGACGACGCCGAGACGCTCAGGTCTTCCCAGGGCTACTGCTTTAGCCTTGGCTCAGGTGCTGTCTCGTGGAGAGCTACCCGCTCCTCGTCTGTTGCCCAGTCCAGCTGTGAGGCTGAGATCTACGCCGGTGCCATGGCGGCACAGGAGCTCCGCTGGCTGACCTTCTTGCTCACTGACTTAGGTGAGCGGCCTAGCTCTGCCCCGGTCCTGTACGCTGACAACAGGGCCATGATCCTCCTGTGTCAGGAGCCTCGACTCGAGGGCAGAGCGAAGCACATCCAGCTGCGGTACTTCCTCCTGCGTGAGCTACAGCAGCGTCGCCAGGCTCGCGTAGTACACTTAGCCTCCGGTGCCAACACAGCTGATATCTTTACGAAGGCGCTTGCGCCTAAAGATCATCAGCGGCACTGTGTACAGCTTGGTCTGGTTCCTGTAGTCTCTCACTTACTCGGGCCTTGACTTTGTACTGCCCTATATATATCTGTGTGTACACTCAGACTGGACTTGTGTCCTCTTACAGTGGTTGGACTAGTAGTGCCGCCCTGTACTAGTTCTTGCCTTGCCTGTACTCCTTCTGACTGGTCTTTTAGACCCTTGTCTCAGAGGCTGGACTAGTAGTGCCACCCTGAGCTGCTTGTCTAGAACATTCCCCTATGCAGTCCAGGGGGTGTGTCAAACATGTTTAGTTATCATGCTTGTATAGACTGTATAGGGTCATCCTCTAGAGAGTACAACTGTTAGGTATATGTTTGTGTACTCTCTCTCTCTATTCATCAATTTCACTGTTTGATACATACTGCACTCTGTGAAGGGAGCCCAAAACAGAAATGTGATTTGGAACCAGGAATCTATAGAACACAACTCTTCCACACCACAGGGCTGCTATGTACAAGGTTATACAAGCACGGATCTCGCACAAAGAAAGCAAACCTAATGATAATTAGCAAGTGGAAAGCACGACACGCAAGGCTGCCATTAGCATGGGCATTCATGCATGGATTGTAACAGCCACTTTCATGTTGAATGCAGAGCAATGGCTGGGCACGCTGCAGGAGAAGTAGAGCGGTGAAGCAGTGCTCCTGACCTTATACCTGCAACAGGATGCAAACGGGCAGCAAGAAAGACGATCAATAAAGTACCAGAACAGATACTGTTTGTAATCAACTAGCTATGGTAGTTGTTAGTAAGGGCTCTCGACAAGTGTAACTAATGGAAGCCAGATAAACGAGCACGTGTCTAAGTGGGTGAGTGCTTGCACGCGTGCCTGCATGTGTGCGTTTGTGTGCGAGCACGCCAACCATGCTTTGCAAGCTCACTTGTACATGCCGAAGCTTGTGATGTCTGTCTTCGCGTGAGAAGTCTATTTTTTAGGCGCCTCAAAAATAGAATCCTTAAGCTCTGGATGCTCACCAAGGTGTTCACCAGCTCCGAATGCTCATTGCTCACCTGTACATGCCGAAGCTGGTGATGCCTGTCTTCCTCTTAGCATCCGTAAAGTTGCAGTTGTTGTACGCGGCCACGTTGTTCATTAGCCACACGTCATGCGGAATGCCCCTCCACTTGAACACTGCACGTGGTGCCACAGATGTTAGGCAGGGGAACAAAAACAGGCGCACTGGAATGAGAAACAGACAGCCGATCACGACCCGCACAGGTGTATCTTGAGTCGACTCAGAATACACCTGTCAGGCAGGGGAACAAAAACAGGCGCACTGGAATGAGAAACAGACCGCCGATCATGACCCGCATGACGGGTGCCACATGTCATGCGGACTTCCGGTCTATTTGAGCCTTGCACAGGGTTTGCATTGCAGAGCACGCCCAAGCACGAACGTGGAATCAGGAACGGACAAGAAAAGAGGCATGCCTAACTTCCACGCAACGAGACACTGTCAAAGGAAAGGCTAACAAGACCTTGGCCAACAACACCGCACGGGCACTGAGAGGGAAAAGAGGAGGTACTCCAAAGGCATCGCCTGCGCATATAGCCACGCTGGGGCGCTATTCCTGCACTCCATAGCCCCACGGGCTAACAACCCTTTCACCCGCCCCCCCACCCCTCACCCATCACCCCCCACCCCCCACCCATCACCCCCCACCCCCCCGATGCAAACTCCATTTTCTATTGGGCGTAGAGCATAAACGTACAGAGGGTGTCGCCCTTGTGAATGGCCCCCTTGGGGTGCCACTTCATCACGCCGTAGCCCCACGGGCTGAGGCCCCCGCCTCCCACTGTGAACACCCTTGCCTGGGGGAACAATTAGGGAGAGAGACACACGCGGGGGTTGGCGGAGAGTGAGACGCACACTGTGAACACTCTGGCTTGGCGGACGGGGCAGTGATGGGACAGCAACAAGACAAAGAGGCAATGAGAGAGAGAGAGAGAGAGAGAGAGAGAGAGAGAGAGAGAGAGAGAGAGAGAGAGAGAGAGAGAGAGAGAGAGAGAGAGAGAGAGAGAGAGAGAGAGAGAGAGAGAGAGACTGGGGTGAGAGATGAGTGAATGGCACAGTAGGAACACCTTGGACTGCTGGGGGAAGCGATGGGAGATAACGAGGCCAAGAGGGAGCGAGAGGGGAGAGGGATGTGCCATGATGGTTAGACAGAGACGGTGAGGAGGATGGGTTGGAACGAGGGAGGCCAGAAGTGAAAGAGAGGAAACCATGGCAGGAATAAGATCTCACAAGGGTAGGAACACATTGGCCTGGGGGGCAGAGCAGCAAGGTGAGGCGGATGGGTCGGAACAAAGGACGCTAGAAGTGAAAGAGAGGAATCTATCGTGGAAATAAGATTCCGCAGGCCATCGCAGACGAGCAGGTTGAGGAAGATTAGGCAGGAAGGAGTCCCAGAAGGGCAGGAGAATAAGGAGAGGGCAGGAGAGCAGGGAGGGCAGGAGAGCAGGGAGGGCAGGAGAGCAGGGAGGGCAGGAGGGCAGGGAGGGCAGGAGGGCAGGGAGGGCAGGAGGGCAGGGAGAGCAGGGAGGGCAGGAGAGCAGGGAGGGCAGGAGAGCAGGGAGGGCAGGAGAGCAGGGAGGGCAGGAGAGCAGGGAGGGCAGGAGAGCAGGGAGGGCAGGAGAGCAGGGAGGGCAGGAGAGCAGGGAGGGCAGGAGAGCAGGGAGGGCAGGAGAGCAGGGAGGGCAGGAGAGCAGGGAGGGCAGGAGAGCAGGGAGGGCAGGGAGGGCAGGAGAGCAGGGAGGGCAGGAGAGCAGGGAGGGCAGGAGAGCAGGGAGGGCAGGAGAGCAGGGAGGGCAGGAGAGCAGGGAGGGCAGGAGAGCAGGGAGGGCAGGAGAGCAGGGAGGGCAGGAGAGCAGGGAGGGCAGGAGTGCAGGGAGGGCAGGAGTGCAGGGAGGGCAGGAGTGCAGGGAGGGCAGGAGTGCAGGGAGGGCAGGAGTGCAGGGAGGGCAGGAGAGCAGGGAGGGCAGGAGGGCAGGGAGGGCAGGAGGGCAGGGAGGGCAGGCGAGCAGGGAGGGCAGGCGAGCAGGGAGGGCAGGCGAGCAGGGAGGGCAGGCGAGGAGGGAGGGCAGGCGAGCAGGGAGGGCAGGAGAGCAGGGAGGGCAGGAGAGCAGGGAGGGCAGGAGAGCAGGGAGGCCAGGCGAATAAGGAGAGGGTAGGAAGGGAGGGCATGCAGGAGTGCAGTACCTCGGACTGAGTTGCGCCTGAGCCGTAGGAGAGCGCCGGGCGGGGAAGAGTGTGACGTGGGGGGGTTGGGGGAAAGCAGAGGGGGGAAGAAAGAAGGGGAGAGAAGGGACTCAGAGGAAGGGGGAAACGCCGGGAGGGTCACACAATGAGAGAGCCGATGTGCTCAAGGCTTCAGTGGGAGGGCTGATGCGAGGTGACGAGAGGTGATGAGAGGTGATGAGAGGTGATGAGAGGTGATGAGAGGTGATGAGTGATGGGAGTAGGAGAGAGGAGGGTCGAACGGAACAGACTCCTGGGGAGCGAGCACGGATGTGACCTCGACGGTGGAAGCAAGCAACCGCTCAAGAGAGACAACGGGGCGGTGGACCGAGCGGTCAAGGGGCGGAGCGTGGAGAGGGAGGGGAACGAGCGGTCAGGGCGCACAGCAGGACGGAGGCGCGGCCTCAAAAAGGGCGACGAGACGCACAGAGCAGGACATACAGAGCAGGAGGGCGGGAGTAGCAATCGGCACGTACAGAGCAGGAGGGCGGGAGTAGCAATCGGCACGTACAGAGCAGGAGGGCGGGAGTAGCAATCGGCACGTACAGAGCAGGAGGGCGGGAGGAGCAATCAAGGAAGGCCCGAGGACCAATCAGGATTCGGGACGTACAGAGCAGGGCGACGAGTGCAGCAGCCGCGAGGGCGATGGCGGAAAGCGAGCGAGCCATGGCGACGACTCGAGAAAACCGCGAGATGGTGGAGGGGAGTCGGACGCGGAGGGCTGGAGCGAGCCGTACGGAAATCAGGTCGTTGGACGAGTTTGGTTCAACCCGAATTCCTCTTGGTGGGAGGGGGGAGGACTTGGCGAGTCGGCGAGTCGGCGAGTCGGCGGATTAGTGGAAGAGTTGAGCACTGATAAATCGGAGGAGATAACAAGCTCGCGGCGGCTGAATGACTAGACTGTCTGCGTCGTACTTATTTATAGCCGTTCAGTGCTTCAACCTGCTCCCTTGGTCATTCTTCCCTCGGCCGAGACGCCCCAGGTGGGGCGCCTTTCTTTTGCCAAGGAACCATCGTCTCACTTCTTGCTGCTGCTGCTGCTGCTGCTACTGCTGCGTTCCACTGGAACAGCAACTGCAATCCTACGCCGACTCGGCGGACCTCCCATAGAAAAGTCTCCTCCTCCCATACCGACAACAGCGTGCCCCCCAGCCGTCCCGTTGCCCTTCCCCGCATGCCTTTCCCCTTGCGCGGAGGGGCTCCCAGCCTGGGGAAGGCTCGTGGAACTCGCCGGCTGCACCCGATTACCGTCAAGTGACGCTTCGGCCATGGGAGAGGCAGACAAGGGGAGGCTGACTGATTGCGACAGCATGCATGCGGAATCGCGTGCAGGATAAGGAAACGATGTCGGGCGAGACGCCTAAGCATTAGGCACGTGGCGAGCGGAGGACCGACACTGGTTACTGCACCGACAATGGGCGATTGGATAGCCTATCAAGTGGCATGAACTGTGGCTGGGATGGTCGGTGAGAGGGAATGGGGGCGAGTTTGCGACAGGCGAGGGCTCGCGAACAGGGGCGAGACGCAACTTCTGAGGTCGGTGTGGTGAGGTAATGTTCACGAGTGTTACAGGAATACTATTATTGTTATGAGTGGGAATGGAACAATTGACTTAGTAATGGAAATACAACCTAGGAATAATAATTGATTAGCAAGTGATGAGTGAACTGGCTAAATTAGGGATCGTACGTGCTAGGGAGAGAACCTCGGGACGTGAGGTTGGGATGGAAGGGTGGCGAGGGTGTCGGAACACGACTCGGGGAGGTTTGGGCCGACAATGGAGGCCGAACCTGCGAGATCGAGGTCTTCGGGTGTAACGCTGCAACTTAGCGCAGTAAGGAATTGTAATTCCTTACACTCTCCCACCTTCTACAGAAGCCCTCAGTACACTGGAGGCGATACTCCGATGGATTAATAATCCAATCACGAGCATGACTCTAGGTCATGAAATCTTCTTACGACCGTAATGATTACGCCGTCCTGCAAGTCTTGGGCGAGCCAAATTCCACGGCTGAAATTGGTCGAGAGATGTCTTGACCGTTGGGCGATTATCACGAGTCAGCAATATCGGTGGCGAAAATGTCAAGGTCGATCTGATAGATATCTCCAGATCGAACGACTGACGATGATTTTAATTTGGCAGGATATGTCAGAATAACGCAATGATTAGAAGGAAGAGGGAACAAGGGAGATATAGGGGTGTATGTATAAGAACACACGCATATTCTAGCCTATAACTTCTACATACAAATGTAGGTATATGTTGACACACCCCTTAGGCTAGATAAGGGGTAGTGCTGAGCAAGAAGCACACAGCTCAGGGTGGCACTACTAGTCCAACCTCTGAGACAGGGGTCCGAAGACCAGTCAGCAAGAGTACAAACAAGACAAGAGCAAACCAGTGCGGCTGGATGTGCTTCGCTCTGCCCTCAAGTCGAGGCTCCTGACACAGGAGGATCATGGCCCTGTTGTCAGCGTACAAGACCGGGGCAGAACTAGGCCGCTCACCTTAGTCGGTGAGCAAGAACGTCAGCCAGCGGAGCTCCTGTGCCGCCATGGCACCAGCGTAGATCTCAGCCTTACAGCTAGACTGGGCAACAGACGAGGAGCGAGTGGACCTCCACGAGATGGCACCCGAACCAAGGCTAAAGCAATAGCCTTGGGAGGACCTGAGGGTCTCAGCGTCGTCTGCCCAAGAAGCGTCTGTGTGCCCAGTAAGGACCACTAATCAGTGTCCTCCCTGTCAACTTATACATATCATGCATGTAGAAGTTATAGGCTAGTATCGATGTGTGCTCTTACTGAGTATAACCCAACTGCTATATGTTCCATGTTTCCCCTCTAGTAATTCATTCACGTATTCTAACATGGTATTAGAGCATGTTAGGTTCACCCGACCGCTTCCGTCCGCGCCCTAGTCTCTCGTCCGCCCCTAGCCGGCCCCTTGGCCGTCGCGTCCGCCCCTAGCTGGCCCCTTGGCCGTCGCGTCCGCCCCTAGTCGGCCCCCTGGCCGTCGCGTCCGCCCTCAGCTGGCCCCCTGGCCGTCGCGTCCGCCTCTAGTCGGCCCCCTGGCCGTCGCATCCGCCCCTAGCTGGCCCCCCTGGCCGTCGCGACCGCCCCTAGCCGGCCCCCTGGCTGTCGCGTCCGCCCCTAGCTAACCCCTTAGCCGTCGCGTCCGCCCCTAGTCGGCCCCCTGGCTGTCATGTCCGCCCTCAGCTGGCCCCCTGGCCGTCGCGTCCGCCCCTAGTTGGCCCCTTGGCCATCACGTCCGCCCCTAGTTGGCCCCTTGGCCGTCGCGTCCGCCCTCAGCTGGCCCCCTGGCCGTCGCGTCCGCCCCTAGTTGGCCCTCTGGCCGTCGCGTCCGCCCCTAGCTGGCCCCCTTGGCCGTCGCGATCGCCCCTAGCCGGCCCCCTGGCCGTCGCGTCCGCCCCTAGCTGGCCCCTTGGCCGTTTGCGCCCGCTCCTAACCGGCCCCTTGGCCGTTCGCGCCCGCCCCTAGCTGGCCCCACTGGCCGTCGCGCCCGCTCCTAGCTGGCCCCCCCTGGCCCCACGCGCCCGCTCCTGGCCGGCACACTGACCGTCGAGCCCGCTCCTAGCCGGCCCCAGCAGCGCCCGCCCGGGCCCTCCTCGCGCCCGCCCGGCCCCCAGTCGCACCTGCCCAGCCGCCCCGCGCGTGCTCGGCCCCTCCTAGCGCCCGCCCGGTCCCAGTGCGACCGCCCGGCCCCTCCTCCTGCCCGCCCGGCCCCTCCTCGTGCCTGCTCGACCTGCCGTGCCACCTCGGGCCCCGTGTCCTCTGCTAGCCTGCGCTGGGGCTCCCCTGCAGCCGCCCTATTGGAGAGTGTTGCCGCCGTGTCCCTATGCCGCTGTGCTCCTGCCGAGCTGTGGAGCTGTGCCGCTGCGTCGCTGAGGAGCTGTGTCGCTGACCCTGCACGATGGCTGACTTCGTGCTTCGCCTGGACGCTGAGGGCCACGCGGTTGACTTCGTCGCCTGGCTCTCCGATCTCCGCCGTCAGCTTACAGGTCAGCGCCAGGATGGACACTCGCTGGTTGTCCATGCTGATGGCTTGCTCCCCCGCCCCCCTGCACCTGCTCCCCTCCCTGCTGACCCCACCTCCGCTCAGAGTGAGGCTTTCTCTACTGCTGCGCTTGCCTATGCGGTCTGGGACTCACGCGATGCAGTAGCTCAGGTTGCTATCAGTCACGCCTTCCCTGTGTCTGAGCGCTCGCGTTTCGCTACGGTTGATACGGCCAAAGCTTATTTAGACGCTGTTGTTTCTCGCTATTCCACGCCTGCATCCGCTTCTGCCGGCCGCTTGCTCTTCCCGATGCTGTTCCCAGACCTTGCTGCCTTCCCTATTGTTGCAGACTTTGCCTCTCACTTGCGTGCCCTAAAGTCTCGCTATCGCACTGCCAGCACTGCTGCCCAGCTCACTGCTCTCCCCCCCCCATTCTGCATGACACTCTATTTTATCACCATGCGCCTGCCGGACCGCCTAGCTAGTGCCCGCGACCGCTTCCTTAGCCAGCACCCGGGTGACCTTACCCTGACCGCCTTTGTTGACACCCTCACCAAGATCGAGACTCGCAAGCGCACTATTGCTCAGTCGAGCGGTGCGCCGGCAGTCTCTATCTTTCACGGCTGTGCCTCCTCCCAGTGCACGTTTACTGACGATTCGGCTGCGGTCGCCACTGCGACCCCTCTTACCAAGACGGCTGCTGTGGTCCACCCACAGCAGCGCCCGCGCCGCGTTGGCCGTGGCCGTCAGGGAGGTCGTGGTGGTGGCGCTGGTGGTGGTGGTGGTAGTGGTGGTGGCGACGGTAGTCCATCTGAGGGGACTACCACCAGTGGGCAGGAGCAGACGCAGTCGCCTTCGCAGCAGAAGCAGCCCCCGCAGCAGCCGCCGCCGTCCCAGCAGCAGCCACCACAGCTGTGGGCTCGTCTCCCGCCTGGTTGGCCCGGCACCTCCGGAGGTGGTGGCCGTGATGGTGGCCCGCGCAGCTTGGCGTCTACCGGCAGCTCCGGTGCTGTGACCTGCCAGTACCAGCTTCAGACCGGGCCTCTCTGCGGCACTCTGTGCCGTCGCCCGCACCTGACCGCCCGCTGTTTCCGCTGCCTCGACGATCTCTTTCGTCGTCGCTTTGGCCCGGCCCCGGACCTCCCCGACTGGCACAGCCTGCTTCGCCAGGGCGTACCGATCTTTGAGTTAGATATGCATCAGATAGGTGCAACTTTGCATGCCTTGTATGCTGACGCTTCTAGTGTTGCTGGATCTTATTACCTGTGTACTCTAGTTTAGGTGTAGCACCCTTGTGTAGCTTAGCTTCCCCTGCTGCGTCAAGCGTAGGACTGACTAGGTTGCCTAGCCTCGTTCCTGCACCGGCATCGTCCCAGGCTCTTCTACCACCCGCAGTCCCACCGCTTCCTCCACTCTCGTGACGTCACCTTTGACGAGTCCGTCTCCTTCTACCGTCGCTTCCCTCACCGAGGTCTCCCAGTTTCCCCCCCCCTGTTCCTTGCCCCCTCTCCCCTGGTAGCCCCTCCTCCCCTCCCGCCTCGTCCTGCCCCGTCAGGTGTCTCCCATGTCACTCCCCTCCCGTCAGTTGTCCCTGTTGAGGAGTCTGTCTGGCTCTTCAAGGTGAAGCGCCCCCCTGGAGAGCCGCCTGTCTTCAAGGCGTGCTACGTGGCCAGAGGCTTCAGCCAGCGCAAGGGGGTTGACTTCTTCCAGACCTTCGCCCCGACCCCGAAGATGACCACTCTTCGGGCGCTGCTACACGTAGCAGCACAGCGCGAGTATGAGCTCCACTCCCTCGACTTCTCTACTGCCTTTCTTCAGGGCAGCCTACACGAGCAGGTCTACCTGCGCCGACCACAAGGCTTCACTGGTACCTTCCCCCCTGGGACCCAGTGGCTTCTCAGGCGCCCGGTCTACGGCCTGCGTCAGGCTCCCCGCGAGTGGCACGACACACTGCGTGCCACGTTAGCAGACCTGCAGTTCTTTCCGTCCTCTGCTGACCCCTCGCTATTTGTGCGTTCCGGCCAGACTCCGTTCTACATCCTTGTCTACGTAGACGACCTGGTCTTCGCTACTGCTGACAGGGACACACTGGCCTGTGTGAAGGTCGAGCTGCTGAAGAGACACACC